ACTGACAGACAGACGAGGGCATCAATCAGAGACAATATATATGACTGGAAGAGTGTTACTAGCAGAGTACCAAAGAGTTCAGTTCTTGCACCAGTAATGTTCATCATATACATAAATGATCAGAAAGAATACAGAAATATTTGAACATCTTTGTGAATGATGCTAAGATACTGTGGAAGATAAGAGACGCAGAAAATTGTAATGCCCTTCAAATCGATCTAGATAAAATAAGAGCTTGGAGCATAAAGTGGCAAATGAAATTCAATGTGAATAAATGCCATGTTATGGAACGTGGGATCAGAGAAAATAGACCTAACATAACTTACAAATTATGTGGAAAGGAATTACAGAACTATAGTAAAGAATAAGACCTTGGGGTGGTTTTGGATAGTAAGCTGTCGCCAGAGGAACACATGAACATTTTGAGAGGAGTGAATGCGTTGCTTTCAAACTTCAGACATGCTTTTAGTTATACAGTGGTACCTCGGAACACGAGTGTCCCTGTATGCGAGTTTTTCTGAATACGAGCCGGATTTCCTTGGAAAATGTGTCTCGGAAGGCGAGGGTTACCTCGGAACACGAGTGTGTTGATACGTGTTCAGGCCAACCTAGCGGGTGGTTGTACGACGATCGTCGCCCCTCCGCCCCTCAGTTTACCATTGTCTCCCGCCCAGTGACTATCCCTCCTGAATTCTTCACAAGGGTTTTCAGTTTTATGTCGGTTTTTTGGCCATTTGAGCATAAAAGTTGTTATTATATATCTCGCCATGGGTCTCAAGAATGTCATTGATAAGGTTCAACCTAAGAAAATAGCTGTGAGTAGAGGCAGTAGAGGATGTCCCTTCTTGATTAAGAAAATGTGTGAAGTATGGGAAGAACTACAAAGTTCTGTTGAAAAAACTCACCCAGATAAAGCTGTAGCAGGCCGTTGCATTGACCTTTTAAATGACAATGTGATGTCTTACTACAGACAAGTGTTAAAATGATGGGAAAAACAAGTGTCTTTAGACAGATTCTTAGTAAGACAAACAAGTCCTAGTGGTATGCAGGCAAAATGTGCCAGAGTGTGCTCACCAGTGAAGTCCTCACTGCCTGATGTGATAATGAACTGGACTCCCCTTCCAAACAGTAACTCCTCTCTTCCTCCCACCTCCTCACCATCTTTCATACGCCTACAGCATTCAACAGCAAGGTAAGTAATAGTGTGAACATAGTTTTGTAGGTTTATTTAGATGAATTAGGTACAAAAATTTAGTTTGATGTGGGTTTTTTTGGGGTAGTCAGGAACGGATTAATTCACTTCCCATTATTTCTTATGGGGAAATTAGCTTCGGAATACGAGCCGTCTCCAGGAACGGATTAAACTCTTAAACTGAGGTACCCCTGTATATGGATAGTGAAATTACTAAAGGAAGTGTTCGTGACTTTTGTGAGACCAAAACTTGAATATGCAGCAGTTGTATGGTGCCCAAATCTCAAGAAGCACAAAGAAACTGGAAGAGGTTTCAAAATGGCTTACAGAACTGGAAAACAAGAGTTACGAAGAGCGAATAGAGACGTTAAGCGTGCCATAACAAGAAGATGAAAGAAAGAGATGATCTAATCACCACTTACAAAATATTAACAGGAATTGACCAACCTGATAAAGAGGATTCCTGAAACCAGCAATATCACGAACAAGAGGATACAGGTTCAAGCTAAGGAAACAAAGATCCTGAAAAAACATTAGAAAGTTTTCTTTTGCAAACAGTAGTAGACGGTCAGAACAAGCTAAGTGAGTAGGTGGAGGAGGTCAAAACTGTCAGTAGTTTCAAAGAGTCATACGACAAATAGTACTGGGGAAGAAGGGACACCACGAGCGTAGCTCTTATCCTGTAATTACACTTAGGTAATTACACACAACAACAGGCTCCTCTTAGTACATGTAACCATGAAATGGTAGCAGGATTCTTTTTATGGGTCAAGGTAAACTCCATTTCATCCACAAAGAGCTATTATATCTCTATTTGCATCATACATGTTAACCCTTAAATTGCGAATCGCATCATATGATGCTTTGACCGACTTTCAGTAAATTGCGCATCGCATCATATGATGCTTTGGAGTACTACGCAAGATTTAAACGGCCCGCGGATACACGGGGTTCAGCTTGTGACCACAGCATCGCCTAAAAATGCCATAATATACTTGTTCATGCTATTATGTAGTGATGATATTATTACATTAGACCCCTGACTGTGATAAAACTGACCAGGGTTCTGATAATAGCAGGATTGTGTGATATTTAGCGCTGTGCGCCATGGAGGGAGGAGTAATGCTGTGGGAGGGGAGGGTAGTGGCATTGTCTTCTGACTGTGTGTGGCCACCTTTTATTGACTGCACTCACCATACCAGCTTAGTGGTTCGCTATGGTGAACACAAATGTAGATACTTAAATATAACGTGTGTATAGAGGGTATAAACAGCAAGAGGAGTAGGTTGGGAGCTGCCATTTTGGTGAGGGCGGTGGCGTCGTCTGCACGACTTATCATGTTGTTTACTGGTGACCACAATAGTCTTTGGGCACCATACCAGTTTACTTATACAAGTATGGTAAATAAAACAGGTAGATAATTATATATAATGTGTGTATATAGCGTAATAACACCACAAACAGTATTGTTGGAGGAGAAATATTAGTGCATCTGGCCTTGAAGTTGGTAGCCATCAGCTGACTGTGTGAGTAGCTACGTCTTTGTGCCTTTACTCACCATACAAGCTTAGATGTACAGTTATGGTAAACAAAACATGTAGATACTTATATATAACGTCTGTATATAAAAGCAAAAACAGTATGGTGGGAGGAGAATGGTGGTAAGTCAGGTGAGGTGCGGGAGGGAGGGAGTGGCAGCCAGTGGCAGTTCGTTATGGTGAACACGAATGTAGATACTGATATATAGCATCTGTAAATAGTGAATGAAAGCAAAAACAGTATTGTGGGATGAGAATGTGGGTGAGTCAGGTGACTTGAGGGAGGGAGAAAGTAGCAGCCAGTGGCGGGCTGCCACTGGCACTGCCACTCAGCATGCCAACTTAGTGGTTCATTATGGTGAACAGGAATGTAGATACTTATATATAACGTCTGTATATAGTGAATAAAAGCAAAAACAGTATGGCGGGAGGAGAATGTGGGCGAGTGAGGTGTTGAGGGAAGGAGTGAGTGGTTGGCTGGTACACGGCGGTCACTCCTCGTTACTTTTTGACTCATAATAGGAACTTAGTGGTTCGTTATGGTGAACAAAACATGCAGATACTTATATATAACCTGTGTATATGGTGTAATAACCAACAAAGTATTTGTTCACTGTTTGATGAACATAATTGAATCAACAATATGCACACCATATTGTTGAGTACATCGATGATTCACTCATTTTATTATAAAATTTATATCACACTACACACTATTGAATAATATTACAGCAAAAAAAAATATACGAAAAATCAATCAGAGACATTGAAATAATTAGGTAATTATCTCTTTGTAGCAACTCCGGCCTGACAGCTGGCGAGCAACAGACCGCCTGGGACGCACGCTGAGTCAGCTCCTGTTTTCTGCCAGACTTCCCCGCCCTATAGCGGGCAAAATATGCCACTTACGATTTTTTTATTATTTTTTCCCATGATCAGTGAGCACAAATTAACAGGTTAGGAAGAAAAAAGATTTTTTTTTTTTTTTGTATGCGCCTGTGGGTGTCAAATGGTATATAGCCATGCGCCATTTAAGGGTTAAACCCAGACATTATTGAAATCATCATATGACAATAGCCACATTACCCCCATGAATCAACAAATGATGATAACTGCTGTCTATGGGTTAAGACATCAATGCGCTCTTGAGTGGAATATTGTTGCGCACTAACAGCCCCATTCAAAGCATGAGAAAATGCTGACCCGGAGAGCATGTAATGATCCTTTACCTCTAGAATGCACTTGATAAAACATCTAAATTATTGGGAACGCCTAAAAATGTTACACGTGTATTCCCAAGAGTACAAGCGAGAGAGATACATAATAATTTGCACTTTGAAAATATAAGAAGATACTGGTTCCAAATCTCCACACAAAAATAACTCTGCATGAGACCAGAAGGCATGACAGGGTGTGCAAAATAGCCCCACAGAGAAGCAGAGGTGCAATAGGAACACAGACAGCACTTCATCAGTATCAAAGGCCCCAAGACTTTTCAACACTTTTTTCCTTACACATTCAGGGCATAACTGGCTTACCCCTCTGTCTGAGATTACTATAAGCTTGGACTGTTGAGGTGTGCAGTTGAGCTGGGCAGGAATGCCAACTGCTTAACAGTTATGAACAAGGTAAAATGTATAGGGCAACAGCACAAGATCTTGAGGAGACCTTGCCAGACAGAGGTTCGTGGTTGTTCAACATCCTCCCAGCAAGCGTAATAAATATTGCCAGAACAAATGTGAACATCTTCAAGAGAAAACTGGATAGTTTTCTTCAACAAGTGCTGGACCAACTGAGCTGTGGTGGATATGGGGGCATGTGGGCCACTCCAAACAACAGCTAGTTGAACCAAGCTCCCACAAGTCAGGCCAGGCTTGGGAGTAGAACTCCCAAAACCCCATCTATGTACAGATATAATCCAGGATCCAAATTTTGAAGGTTAAAGTGTATTAACAGAATTTTACAGAGTAATTTAATGATTTGAAATTTTAAAAATTTCATCATTAAATATCAATATGATCATTGAGAAAATCCATAGGAGCCGTGATAAGAGTTCAAACCAATGCAGTGGGTGTTCCCAGGCACACACCCTAGTCAACTAGGAATGTGTGTGCATGAAAACATTCACTGCATAGGTTTGAATCCTCATCACAGCTACTACGGATTTTCTCATGATCATTATTTTCACACAAATATTGTATACGTCTTACTTTGAATATAAATACCTTACTGTATTAATACAACAACAAATGGTAAAAATCATAATTTACCTTCATTCAGCCTGTCAATAGCAGACAGGTGTGGTGGTGGTGGTTGGAATACACCCAATGATGGTAACTTTGGCAACAACTTTACACATTTATTTTCTTTTGACCTCCTTTCTGTTAGTGGTGCTCTGAGTGTTTTGCCTTCACCTGAAATTATATCACAAACTAAATTTAAAATAAATTTTCCTAAATTTTTTTTAGTTTTATTCAGATTGATACAAATTACATATTTTTTCCAGATTCCATATTCTTAATATGTTATCTAATTTATAATATGGAATCACATAACAGTTATTGGCATAATTTCATTTGTAGATTTTTTTATATGGAAGTGATCTCCAGTAACACACATGCAGTATGGAAAGTTGAGAGTGATGAATTTGAGGAAATTGACAAGAAAATAGAATCATACAGTCAACAACTCTAAGAAACCCTAAAGGCCAACAGAGTTAGGCAAGGATATGCAAAGAAAGAGTTGTCCATGAGAAACTTCATGGACAACTCTCATAGAGGAGGTTAATTAAGAACTAGAAAAGTACAAAGAGGAAATTAACCCTTAAAGTGCGCATCACGTCATATGACGTGTTGGACGTTGTTCCAGTCAACTGCGCATCACGTCATATGACGTGTTGGAGTACTACGCAAGATTTAAACGGCCCGCGGAGACACGGGGTTCACCACACCTTCATCAGGGCTCTTGTAAACAGACGCCATTTTTTTTGTAAATCGTGGGCCAAACTCCCGGGTGTTATTGGCCTCAGTATTGAGTGAGCAACCAAGCCTGACGCACGCAGCATGAGCTAACAGCACTGCTGTTCAGCTTGTGACCACAGCATCACCTAAAAATGCCAAAATATACTTCTTCATGCTATTATGTAGCGATGATATTATAACAGAAGACCCCTGACTGTGATAAAACTGACCAGGGTTCTGATAATAGCAGGATTGTGGTGATATTTAGCGCTGTGCGCCATGGAGGGAGGAGTAATGCTGTGGGAGGGAGGGTGGTAGCGATGTCTTCTGACTGTGTGTGGCCACCTTTTATTGAATGCACTCACCATACCAGCTTAGTGGTTCGCTATGGTGAACACAAATGTAGATACTGTACTTATATATAACGTGTGTATAGAGGGTATAAACAGCAAGGGAAGGTTTGGAGCCCCATTTTGGTGAGGGCGGTGGCGTCGTCTGCACAACGCCACCGTGCAGACGACGGTGTTGTTTACTGGTTACCACGATGGTCTTTGGGCACCATACCAGTTTATTTGTACAAGTATGATGAATAAAACAGGTAGATATTTATATATAATGTGTGTATATAGCGTAATAACACCACACAGCATTGTTGGAGGAGAAATATTAGTGCGTCTGGCCTTGAGGGCGGCAGCCATCAGCTGACTGTGTGAGGTCCTACGTCTTTGTGCCTTTACTCACCATACAAGCTTAGATGTATAGTTATGGTGAACAAAACATGTAAATACTTATATATAACATCTGTATATAAGATATATAGCGTAATAACACCACACAGTATTGTTGGAGGAGAAATATTAGTGGGTCTGGCCTTGAGGGCAGCTGCCATCAGCTGACTGTGTGAGGTCCTACGTCTTTGTGCCTTTACTCACCATACAAGCTTAGATGTACAGTTATGGTGAACAAAATATGTAGATACTTATATATAACGTCTGTATATAGTGAATTATAGCAAAAACAGTATTGTGGGAGAAGAATGTGGGTGAGTCAGATGACTTGAGGGAGGGCGGGAGTGGCTGGCTGGTACACGGCGGTCACGCCTCGTTACTTTTTGACTCATAATAGCTACTTAGTGGTTCGTTATAGTGAACAAAACATGCAGATACTTATATATAACCTGTGCTTATAGTGTAATAACTGACAAAGTATTTGTTCACTGATTGATGAACATAACTGAATCAACAATATGCACACCATATTTTTGAGTACAGCAATGATTCACTCATTTTATTATACATCCCCCACACACCCCACACCACCACCCACACCCTCACACCATCCCCAACACCACTAACACCATTCGCCCCCACCACCCACACTCCCCACCACCACCACCACACACCCCACACCACCACCCACATCATCCCCCACACACCCCACACCACCTACATCATCCCCCACACCCAACCACACCACCCACACCAACCCACCCACACCACACCACCCAAACCATACCACACCACCCACACCGTGTATTGAAGCAGCAGGCTTGGAAGCGTCTCAACTCGCCCGACAAAAAAAAATGATGGGTTGACAGGTCTCCTCTCACACCTCCTGGACCCCCCCCCTCCCACCCCCAGGTACCCGGCCATACACACCACAATGCCAAGTCAGCTATTGTTTTCTTCAGGAAACAATAAAACATGTTAATGATTAATAATGTATAGTAATACACGAAAATTAACATATTTTGGCATAAATATTTTACAGCTAAGATTGAGATTTATAATAGAGTATGAATGAGAGGTTTGGCAGCCATGCGTGGTCACCACCCTTCTCTCCCCACTTCCACCTCCCCTGACAACACCTTCCACCACTGACCCCACCTGCCTCCTTCCACCACCTGCCTCCCCTGACCCCACCTGCCTCCCCTGACCCCACCTGCCTCCCCTGACCCCACCTGCCTCCCCTGACACCGCCTGCCTCCCCTGACCCCACCTGCCTCCCCTGACACCACCTGCCTCTTTCCACACCTGCCTCCCCTGACCCCACCTGCCTCCCCTGACACCACCTGCCTCCCCTGACCCCACCTGCCTCCCTGACACCGCCTGCCTCCCCTGACCCCACCTGCCTCCCCTGACACCACCTGCCTCTTTCCACCACCTGCCTCCCCTGACACCGCCTGCCTCCCCTGACCCCACCTGCCTCCCTTGACCCCACCTGCCTCCCTTGACCCCACCTGCCTCCCCTGACACCACCTGCCTCCCCTGACACCACCTGCCTCCCCTGACCCCACCTGCCTCCCATGACACCGCCTGCCTCCTCTGACACCACCTGCCTCCCCTGACCCCACCTGCCTCCCCTGACACCGCCTGCCTCCCCTGACCCCACCTGCCTCCCCTGACACCACCTGCCTCCCCTGACCCCACCTGCCTCCCATGACACCGCCTGCCTCCTCTGACACCACCTGCCTCCCCTGACACCACCTGCCTCCCCTGACCCCACCTGCCTCCCATGACACCGCCTGCCTCCCATGACACCACCTGCCTCCCCTGACACCACCTGCCTCCCCTGACACCACCTGCCTCCCCTGACACCGCCTGCCTCCCCTGACACCCTGCCTCCCCTGACACCGCCTGCCCCCTGACACCGCCTGCCTCCCCTGACACCGCCTGCCTCCCCTGACACCACCTGCCTCCCCTGACACCGCCCTCCCTGACACTGCCCCCCTGACACCACCTGCCTCCCCTGACCCCACCTGCCTCCCATGACACCGCTGCCTCCTCTGACACCACCTGCCTCCCCTGACACCGCCTGCCTCCCCACCGCCTGCCTCCCCTGACACCGCCTGCCTCCCCACCGCCTGACACCACCTGCCTCCCTGACCCCACCTGCCTCCCATGACACCGCCTTAAATATATCAAACTACACACTATTGAATAATATTACAGCAAAAAAACAATGAAAAATCAATCAGAGACATTGAAATAATTAGGTAATTATCTCTTTGTGACAACTCTGACCTGACAGCTGGCGAGCAACAGACCGCCTGGGACGCACGCCGAGTCAGTGCCTATAATTTGCCAGACTTTCCAGCCCTATAGCGGGCAATATATGCCACTTACGATTTTTTAATTATTTTTCCTGTGATCAGTGAACACAAATTAACATGTTAGGAAGAAAAAATTATTTTTTATTTTTTCAAAATTACATGCGCCTGTGGGGAAGAAAGGATATTATACCCCTAGCATGTTAAGGGTTAAAGAGACGTATGCATAAGTCATGAAAGATGAAGAGACGATCAAGGAAGTGTGTTTGGAAGTCAAAACCAGAAATGACGAACAAGAAGCAGAAGTTAGGCAAGCAATTAGGAAAGAGCTGGTTACCAACAGTGAATTAGAATAAACCACTGCAGATAGAAGTACTGTAAGTCCATAATAATTTGTGGGTGTTTAGAAAACGAAATATTATCTAGGGTAGACATACCAGGAGAAGAGATGAAAATCTTAGAGAAAATGCTAGGTTTAGGAGAAGGTCTCAATTCAAAGGAAAATGTCAGTGATTTTAGGAGTATAAGTAAATATGAGAAAGACGAGAACTCTCTTAACCCCTAAACTGCGCAAAACCTCATATGAAGTGTGACATTGAGCTCAGCTTTTAAAATTTTCTGAAACTCTTTCAAATGTTTTGTGCATAATCTAATAGGCAAATGCTCCAACTTTGTCTAATTGATACCAGCGTAACTTGAAAAACAAGAAAATATAAAGTAACTATGAAACTGAATATTGAAAACTTTAGATTTTGAAATCAGCTGCAAAAATATAAAATACTGTATAACAAATTGTTCATTTTGAGTTATAATGCTCTCAGACTAGCATACGATCTTCATTTTCATATATTTAGAAAATAAGTTTTCAGTATAGATTACAGGAAAAAAAAAATCAATATGGCATTTGAAATATGCCCAAATTTAGACAACAAAAATTTATAACTACAAACGTATAGAGTTTATGAAAAATCAATTCTATAGGGATTGTAGAACAGACAGATGTACACACATAACAAGAGGTGATAGATATAAACTAGCTAAACACAGATGCTGAAGAAATATAAGAAAATTCACTTTTGCAAACAGAGTGGTAGACGGTTGGAACAAGTTAGGGGAGAAGGTGGTGGAGGCCAAGACCGTCAGTAGTTTCAAAGCGTTATATGGCAAAGAGTGCTGGGAAGACGGGACACCACGAGCGTAGCTCTCATCCTGTAACTACACTTAGGTAATTACACTATATGTAAAAATGGTGAGAATCGGTCAGAAACAGCATTTTTGGATACTGAAGTTCAAATTCTAGTTATAGATATAATTGAAGTTGAAGTTATTGACAATGAATAAGGCAGTTCTAATTCATGAATTTACTTGAATGTTTTAATAAACATTGTTTGGCATTCGTACTCGA